TTTGACATTCATCTGATAAGGACTGAATCTCTTCATGAATCCGGTACAATGTCTCCCATTGAAGTTCATCTTGGAACGTACGAAAAGATTCACGTGTATAAATCTCAGCAGCATGGCTTTCAAGGTCGACCAGTTTTGTGATCTGGAAGGGCTTCGTATGAGAACTTAAGTAATCCGCTTTCAACTCTTTCATACGCATTATGCTAATTCCATCTTCAATTGCACGAACAACATCTAAATATATCTTCTTGTGTTTCAGTACAATCGCGAGTGAATCATTCATAGACTCGCACCTTTGTGTTGAGCGAATATTGGCAACGAAATGATCGGTTAGATATGATTGTGCCCATAAGTGTCGAGTATTTCCCTTCTCAATCACCAATGGATGCTTTTCAACATTGAATTCTAAAACAACCGAACGCCATTGAATATCAAATTTATCGGTTGTTCACCAGGAAGCCATGCATTTTGAGAATGCTGCTGTAAATTTTGGGTCACCAGTGTTAGCTTGTACATTGCGAGAAAGATGCCAAGAACATAATCTGTGCTTAGCATAAGGGATAACAGATTTGATAGCCCTCTGCATTGTTCTATCCCCATCGGTGACAACTGAAATAGACGATTTATTCATCATGGCTTCTAAAAAATTCTGTAACACCCACTCGAAAGATTAGAACGTCTCGTCAGCGATTATGGCAGTGGCAAACACAATTGTATTAAGGTGATGATTGACACCGACAATAGGCATAATTGGTCGACCATACAAATTATCTTTGTACGTTGTGTTGAACGCAATTACATCACCGAAGTATGTGTAATCTGATCTTGATGTAGAATCCGACCAAATAAGATTATGCAATGCCCCTAATTCGTCTACCGAGTATGTCATAAAAAACTCGGGATCATCATGTTTCTTCTAATCAAAGTAAGCAATAAGTGCATTCACATCCCCATCGACGATTTCCTTTGTTTTACCTCTTTGAAGTACATTCTAGAGGTCTTTATGTGTAAATCCAACATTATGATAGCCCCTACCTGTTGCGTTAAATAGTTTATTACTTGTGACGTGCCAACACCGACTCTTTCAATGTTGTTGCCTTATTGATATCAGCCTTGATTACAGCTCTATTAGAACGCATAAATGGTGTCATAGCAGGTGTGCACAATGCATGATTATGTTTCTGATAAGACTTACTTATAACCCAGTGATCGTTTGTATTTGTTGTTGTAACTACGACTCTAACCTTACATCTTGTTCTTGTGACTGGTGTATGAGCACATTGACGATCAACATTATTGACTTTTGATACTCTAAACCCTTATTTGGAACAACAAAATTCTTATATCTTCATATTCCCTGCCACGTCAAGCTGTGTTGTTCCCCGACGTGCACTAAACCCATGTTCTCGTACGAATCTCTTGTAAAAGTACCAAGCTTGATCACGTGAAGAGAAGAGCTGACCAACCAATTTGTCAGATTCATCAACATTATGTACTTCATGGCATTCATTGGTTGCCTTAACATTGTCTGCATCAGTATGATCCATGACAAAATTTTGTTGTGCAAGTTCAGTGATCCCAACAGGAGTTGATGGAGATGTAAGTAAAGGTTCATTGAACAACATATTTCAGTCGTGCTTTCAATAGGATGTGGTATTTGTAGTGGTAGTTGAAGGGTGGGTACAACATTAAATTCACATGAGATATTTAGGTATGTACAATAACTACAAAATTCAATAACTTTAAAGTAATAGGTAAATTTACAATATAAATGTTAACATTTACAATAGACTTTTTTAATGACAAAATTCGTAAACACAAAGATTTGTTTCCAACGTGGTTCTCAAACATAAAGTTTCCAAAACAGTGTCGATACATTTATTGTAAGTATCGATCCTCAAACCATCGAAGCCAATTATTATAAAGTAATAGGTAAAATATACCGGTTTAATGAGAGAACAGGTAAACAAAGTGTCGATACATTTATTAAAAGTATCGATCCCAAAAACATCGAAACATATAATTATAATGTAATAGGTAAATTTTCAATGTAACTGGTAAAAAAATACCGGTTAATTAGAAAACAAGTCTACATAACGTATCGACACTTTTTAAATTTGTGTCGATACTTTTTGTCAAGAATAAATGCTAAACGGGGTACACACGTAAAGTGTCGATACATTTATTAAAAGTATTGATCCCAAAAACATCGAAACAGATAATTATAATGTAATAGGTAAATTTCCAATGTAATCGGTATATATATACCAGTTTAATTAGAAAACAGGTAAACATAATGTATCGACACTTTTTCAATTGTGTCGATATTTTTTGTCCAGAATGAATGTCAAAAGGGGTGCACGCATAAAGTGTCGATACATTTATTAACAATATCGATCCCAAAAACATCGAAACCGATAATTACAATGTAATAGGTAAATTTACAATGTACCCGGTAGAAATATATCAGTTTTATGAGAAAATAGGTCTACATAATGTATCGACACTTTTTAAGATTGTGTCAATATGTTTTTCCAGAATGAATACCCAACGAGGTGCACACATAAAGTGTCGATACATTTAAAATTGTATCGATCCCGAAAACATCGAAACTGATAATTATAATATAATAGGTAAATTTGCAATGTTACCGGTATAAATATACCGGTTTAGTTAGAAAATATGTCAATATAAGCGCTACCTATTACATTATATAAGTGATGCCTAATATGTTATTGTACTTGATAATATTTCCGGTTAAATGCCTATTTTATTATATAAGCGCTACCTATTACATTATATAAGCGCTACCTAATATGTTATTGTACTTGATAATATTTTCGGTTAAATGATATAACATAAATGATCTAAATTTTAACAGGTCACTTGTTTAACCAGTTATGCCGTTTTTTAACCGCCGCACAACAGAACTTCCCCAATTAATGACTGCGTGAGGCGATTCGTTTTAATAATCATCGCTATAACTACCGGATTAGATCTGATCTTTCGGAAATACCCCTGAATTATTGCTTCTGCAAAAATTATTGTTATTATGGAATGGATTAATACAAAAAAAAAGATTAAGCATGTAAAGAATTTTTCGTTAAAAATAAGTATATAATATATTTTTGTTATATTTTTAGGCGTCTGAACGTCACACACAATTAAATTTAACTGTTAAGTAACACATATTAGGTTTTGGTAATTTTAGAAATTTTATTGAAACTAAAAAAATATAATTTTTTATTTAAAAATACATTTTTTTCAAATCTTAAAAAAATCTAAAATTTTTAAAACTTTAATTTTATTCTCTTTGCTGCCGCCAATCGTTATAAACGCCGTCAATCGACCGAACATTCAACGATGTGTGACCGACCAACCATCCACGATCAAAAGTCCCACACTTTTATAACGAATGGAACGATTTTTCGAGACAAAATTTATACAATTAATTTTGTATTAAGCCTTGGAATACGAAATCCTAGTGAGTCAAACACCACGTAAAATCACAGTTTTTTTTTAGGGAAATAAAGCAATGAAATTTAATCTCAAAAAATAGTTCGGACGGCGGTGGATGCTTTACAACTCTTTGTTAATTTTATTCGTATTAAATTATGTAAATAGGTGAAACAAAACATTTGATATTAAAAATATATACTTATATAATAGATACTCAATCAACTATTACAAGTAAAACGATAATTTTTCAAATAATATTTTTAATTATATTATTTATATTTTAAAATATTTTTAAAATTTTTATCAGTTGAATTAATTTTAAACGTATGAAAAAGTAAAAATGCATTATAGTGATATTTGTGTGTCTTTTAGTTTTGTAAATATTTTTAAATTAAATTGATACTTTCATAATATAAATTCAATCATAAGTTTAATGAAAAGATAGATCATATGTTTAACATATAATAGGGTTTTTATAAATTAATAAAGCAAAGAACACAAGTACATTAGATAAGAGATATGAGAATAGAAGGATCTTATTGTATTTTTCATCTCACAATCACAAGTAATACATTATTTTTTGACAAAGGCAATCACAAGTAACATTCTCATATTTATATAAGGAGAAGATATAATTTAATGTTAAAATTTAATCTCATCCGGTGTCGGATTCAAGTTAAGTTTAGATAGACACGTGTTTACTTTAAAATTTAATTTTTTTTTATTTTAAAATCTAAATTTTCTTATCAAACATATTTCGATAAATTCCCCTTAAATTGTATGAACATGCGATTTCTTAAAATAAAAAAAATCTAAATAACGTTGATTATTATTTGTGCATGTCAAATTTGGACAAGAAGAATGCTTTTGGATAATTCTAACATTCTATTAATGTGTATTGATTTGCATTCGTGACATATAATATAGCAAATTACCATTAATTCTAATAACCCGTTACAACTTTATTTGTAAATTACATTTTTTATTTTACTTATTTACTTTTCATAAGAACATATTTTTTTTAGTAAGGGCTTAATGTATCTGTGAGTATTTGGGTTTTGACATTTTATTTAATTTGGTGCTTGAATTTTACATTTTCCCCCTAATACAATACTTGTGTCCTTTGAGTTCGATTTGGTATATGGATTTAACAAATACTACACATTCGTAACTTTATATTTTTTCTAATATGCGTTCAATCGAGTATTTTACATTTATATATAAAAGAATTTTATGATTATAATTTTTTAAAAAGAATTTTAAAATAAATTATGACTTTTTTATATTTTCCCTGAAATTTAATTCCAATGAACAATCATACGTGTATTTTTTTCCCTATAAATTAATCACGCGACTTACTTATGTGGTTTGTAGCCATGAAACAAATCGAAGGTTCCAGTACCCCATAAATATTTAAAGCTGATCAAATCAAGTGGGGATAGTAATTAATTTTGAAAACGAGTAAAATGTTTGGAAAAGAGAGGGTCAAGACCGTCATTTGGATAAGTGTAGTTCCTGTCACAACAATCATTGAAATGCAACGCGGAGCAGCGAAATCAGAATTCAAGACGACACAGCTGTTTTTGAGTTTTCTTTACCTCTCTCTGCTCGGTCTAACAAGTCAAGCGTTATCCAGGAAGAAGAAGAAAAAAACGCTCGTGGATTCCTTTCCACTCTCGTTTTCATTATTTTGCCTCTCCTCATTTCCTTCCATACCCTTTCAATTCCACTGCTCCGCCCCAAACCACCAGTACTTTCACGGCGGTAAGATGTCAAACTCGGTAACCCGAACTCAGACGAGGGAGCGGTTCTACAACCCGCCGGCGGTGAGGCGGCATCAACAACAGTTGCAGAGGCAGGAGCAGACACACAGACCGTTGCAACATGAGATTTGGAGACCGTTGAACAAGGAGAACCGAGTCAACTCGGCTGATTCAACGACTGAGACTCGGATGGATTCTGGAGAGTCTACATTGTTGTCGCCGAAGGTTGCTAATTTGTCTAATTTGGATAGGCTCATGGAGGCGGTCACTCCTTTTGTTCCGGTTCATTGCTTCTCTGAGGTATTGTGAAAAGGATGTATATTTTATTTATTTATTTACTTTCTTTGAAACTAAACATAAGTTCTGTGAATTGTATTTTTTTTTAGTTTTGTTTACAACTTTTTGATGCTATAAGCAAACGTACAAGGTGAAGCCATAGAGAGCTAATTGATATACTCTCTTATTTTTTTTTTGGCCGAGTAAAGTTGAGCTTGCTTTAGGAAAGTAATACAAATGATTATTTTGGGGGATAAAAGTAATACATATGATTATGAATTATTAATTAGAAATGGAATGCTCTGTTTGTTACAAATTCCTACGTGTTGAGAACTAGCCTTAATTATGCTAATTAATGGTGTGGCTGTTCAACAATTAGTCTACGACTTGCATTCTTGTGGTCCTAAAGTGATAAGAAGATTAGATTTATCTGGTTTATAAGGTAACAGCTGTGCAGCCTCGTCATTCTTTATTTCTTTTATATATTTATGGTTCCATTAATAGTTGAATGCTTTAATTGGTTCAAGGTTTATTCAAGGGGAGAGTGTGAAGGATAATTAATTCTGCATTTATTTAGCAATATGTGCTTAATTTTTTACTTCAAGACTTTCATTTGTGCTTCTTTTGTTTATTGATTTGATAGGCAAACTGTAGGGGATGGGAAACTAGTGAAACGGATTTGCACTCTTATTACTGTCTCAGTGATCTTTGGGAATATTATAGTGAGTGGAGTGCATACGGTGTTGGGGTCCCGCTAGTATTGAACGGGAGTGATTCTGTTAAGCAATACTATGTTCCTTACTTGTCAGGCATACAATTGTATGTAGATCCGCATAGGCCAAGGTGAGGTTCTTACTGCCATATCCTTCCTAAGTTTTCCCTTTTAACATGGTAGTTGGAATTAATTTTTTTTTAATTATGTCATATTGCTCTTTTAGATACATGGAAGCGGAGAATATTCTAGATTTTTATACCTTTCTGGTTTTCATGCTTCCTCTTGATATCGCAGTGATAATAAGTTACTTTGATGGTTGATAAATATCAAACTTTTTTCCATATTATCTGGCAGCAAGAAACCTTGGATGCTCTCTCTTTAAAGAACCCAACTTGTTTGAGAATGATTGATTGGGTTTCCTGCATAATGCATCCGCTGTTACAATATTCTTTGCGAACAAATTCTTAATGTTAATTGGATTTGTTCTCTAGTTGCATTATCATAAACATGGAATATGCTTCCCATACTAGATATCTAGTGAATCTTGATATTATACTTTACACATACTAAAATGTACCTAAAAAATAATGGTTACTGAATTGTGAAATCATTTATTTATGATGCTACATCTGATCCTCACAAATACCACTGCCTTGCTCTACTCTTGCCCTTGTATGGTGACGCTGTTTATTAGATCTTATTCTGGGAACTCATGGAGCAGCATGCAACAAAGAGCTGTATGCCTGATATTAGGCGATACGTATGTAAAACCTTTGGAGCTTTTGAGTTGCCTTAGTGTTAATCTGCAAAAATCTTCCAATGTATTCAACTATCAGGACTCGTGAGGATGGTGATGCTGAGTCTTTGAGGGAAACTAGTAGTGCTGGAAGTAGCGACTCTGAAACAGACAGGAGAGTAAAAGGTGGTGTTGATGGAGCTTTGGCACAGCACAACTCCCAGAGTACGAATAGATCACATATGAGTTCTTCTAGTGATGAAGTTCAGGTTGGCCAGACAGCTCGGCTTCTGGTTTTTGAATACTTTGAACAAGAGCAACCACATCATCGAAAACCTTTATATGACAAGGCAAGTTCACATGAGGTGATTTAGAATGTTGTTCTTTCTTTTCAAATGTCTGTGTTCTGACTTGTGACCCAAATGCTTGGGGCACCTTTCTCTTACCCACCAGATTTCAAGTCTTGCATCTCAATTTCCAGAGATCAGGATGTACAGGAGCTCTGATCTATTACCAGCAAGTTGGATTTCAGTGGCTTGGTAGGACATCTTATACTTCTAAAGATAGACCAAGTCACTGCTCTTTTAAGCTTTATCTATGTTTGGTTATATTATTTTTGGTCTATAGGTACCCAATATACAGAATACCTATGGGTCAAACCCTACAAAACCTGGATGCATCTTTCTTGACCTTCCATTCTTTGTCAACACGTTCTCAAAGTATACCCCTTTCTCTCTCATTTATGATGATGGGGCATATTGCCGGTTGGTTCTTGTTCTGTTGAGTTAATTTTGTTAATTTATTATACAACCGGTACAGGTAAAAGTCAGCTGCAGTGTCCTGCTTCTAGCAATAGGGAAGTCTGTGGTGTTGATGCATCTACAAATATCCCTCTACCAGTTTTTGGCCTTGCTTCCTATAAGCTGAAAGGTTCAATTTTGACTCCCAATGGTGCCCAAGAATGGCAGCAAGCAATCTATCTGTTACAAGCCGCTGACAATTGGCTGCAATGTTTACAAGTGCATCATCCTGATTTCCAGTTTTTTGCATCACATAACTCACAATGGAGATGACGAAGATACCTTGATTCTTTGTAACTGGTGGCAGTTGGGGCAATCGTAAATGCTCTGCTGAAATGATACTTGATGACATGATATAGTTTACTTAAAACTCATCTAAGAAGCACCGTGTTTTTCAGCTTTTGCTACTAAACTGTATTCGTTGAATACTAGGTAACTATTTTGCAATATATTCAGGTAGGGCCACAAAACTATGATCAGCCCATTGGAATCCTGATCATCACTCAGTTGTTTACTGTGCCTCTGGTTCAAGTGCAAGCTATGTTTATTCTTCAAACACTTGTAAATTATTAACCAAACAACCTTGTTTCTCTGCACCTTCATGTTTTATTTGATAAACATTTAGGAATATCGTTGAAAATTCAAATGCCCGGACTGTATCCTACACATATACTAGCGTTTTCCAGAAACCGAAATACAATCGAGCACTCATAAAGCTTACTTCAGTTCTGTAGTTACAATACTTGATATCGCTCTTGCTAGTTATATGAGATATTGTACATACCTTGCCCGGCTGAAGCCTGATTCAAACCTAAGCAACTCAAACTAAAATGAGCAAATATTTGTTTTGCATCAGATCAGTCAGGGAAGGCCTCTGAACCACAAATATGAAGAACCCTAAACAGACCATAGCAGGGTTGTTATCGGCTTATAGCGGCACATAACATTACTGAAACCATCATTCAATTTTGTTAATATCTACGAAGCTTTTTGGTTAACTAGCAAATATGGTTTAAACAAAGCTAATAAAGGCTTTTATTAACTTATGCCTTACACGGGAAAATACAGGAGTTTGAACTCTGTTGAGGTCTTAGTTGAAAAACATCAACCTATTAAATAAATTACATCACATTCTTGAATTATCCCTAGCTTCTACATTGAACTATCAGAATGTTCAATGCAAGAATGTAGATGACGATAATTTTGTTGAAATTCAAAGTTGTGGACCGTTGATTCTGTTCTGCCTATATTATAAGCCACCATCAAAGATAGTCGATAACAATAGCCCTTGTACAAACTCACATTTGTTTGCTTTCTCTGTGTGCTCCTTATCTGACAATGGTGACGGGTGAACATCTCTGCACAACATAAGACTACCATGAATTTGCATCCAGTTAAGGGGGGGGGGACCACTTAAGTAATAATACCCGCTTTGACACTTGAAAAAGAATGACACAATCATGCTGTTACAGCACAGTATCCAAAGGGTATTGCTTAGCTCAAACACTAAAGAAACATCTTAAGAATAGATAAAATACTTACTTTTCTAACATTCTCACATTTGAGCCTTTTTCCTCCAAGGTCACTTCAGTAGGAGAGGCAGGCTGTACACTTCCGGATGAATCAGCAGGAGCTGCACTATGAAGAAATGAAAGCAATGGATCGGGTCCTGTAGTGGAGGAAGAAAGTGAAGACCATGACCTGGAAAGAAGAGATTGATAATGTGCATCATGCAACTCCTTCCTCAAGGAAGGAGTTGAATAAGAGTCGCCTTTATGAAAATTTAATTTGTAGTTGCTGTAATCATTGGTCAAGGGCCACAGATCATTAACTTCAAAGCATCTGGCCTAAAATTGAAGGAAGACAAAACTCAAAGCATCCTCATAACCACATAAAGAAAATATATAAACTGGACTGATTCAGATAGCTTTAGGGAAAGAATGAGGATGCCATGAGAATTGTTTCAAGCACAATGACATGATCTAGAACAGGTAGTTGAAAGTAATAGGAAAAAGCACAAAATAAGTAAAATCTTTCAACAAAATAGTAATAAAAGGATATTTTGAAAATATTCCCATGCTGCAATGTTATGTGGTCAACCATGTTCATCCCTACTCTCTGAGCACAAACGGGACATACCTGCAATTATAAGCAAACTGATTTACCGATCTTAAACAATGTTTATGTCAAAAAAGCAATTAAACTAAGCTATCTTGAAGTACCCTGATCATTGTGAGATTCAATAAGAAGAATTCCTTTTGGTAACATCAGCATCGAATTTGTTCTTCTCAAACAGAAGACTTAATATCATGTTAATGAAGCATATCAAGGAAAAGTTCCATAAACTATAATTTACGTTGACAATGTACAAGGCCTTAGTTCCTACCAACAAGCCAACACATATACAAAAGATAGAGGGAGAGAGAGAATATGATCTGCTAACTTAACTAATAGGGGCTCTATAATATTTTGAATCAATGTCGATTTCAAAATTGGGGCATTACGAACTAATAATGAAAAGATAGGTTGACACTAAAAACATGAAGATGAGAACAAATATTGCTCAGTAACTTTAGCAATCATCCATTCACTAACAGTCTGACAAGAAATTACAAAACATAAAATTTGTACAAAGAAATAAGAAGCCAGTGATCACTTCTAAAGCTTCTATGGGTAAACAAGAACAATTTCAGCCAAACAAAATTGCTAGAAAATGTTCATAAAATGAGTAACCTTAGAGTGATAATGCTGAATGAGAAGGGGAAAAGGAAATTGAGGATTTTAGTTCTGATAACATCTATTCATCAATCTATCTAAATTTCCAGCTAAATTACCAAAAACTTTCAAACGCCACTAAAACATGGATCAGTATGCTATATTCAGAGAGTTGACTGAGTTTCAAATTTCAAGGCCATCTATTGCTGGGGCAACTTATGCACAGCCGCTAAAAGATTCCAATTCAATCTTGTCAAACCATTATCCACCCACAATTTTTACCAAACTAAAAGCATATCCAGGAAGAATAAAAACATTACCTAAATATCAATTCCAAAAATCTTTCAAAACAAAAGAAAAATTTATGCCTAACAACAAATCCAGAAAGGGAAGTGCATGTACCCCATAGCCGGCATCAAGATGATGCTCTTCATCAATATGGCAGCACAAGCCAAGTAAATCAAAATCCTCAGAACAATACGGGCAGGGGTATTCCGTCATCAATTCATCGTCTTCTTCAATCTCTTCAAAATCAATACAAAGATCTGCTTCCAAAATCAATAACTCCCCATTCAGTAACCGCATAAAATCCAGGAAAAACAACTAAAAATCAAAAGCAACAAAATCAAAAACATAACAAAAAACAAACAGGTAAGTGAAATACTAACCACTTTGGGATTTAAGAGTGGATTGATAGCTCTTAGGTGAAGCTGAGAACGCAAAGCTCCAAGTATCATCCTCCATTGAAACTTAGATAACACTGTAAATTGAAGCTGGGTTTGTTTGAAAAAAGCGAAAGAATCTAACAAGGCTGCTTCTTAGATTCTCCTTTGTATTTTTCTTTTCTTCTTCTTATGCCTTTCTGGTTAAGAACAAAGAGCGACTTAAAAGGAGAAAGGGGGATTCGGGGAAGCATACGGAAATTTTTGCGTGTATTTTTTAGGGTTAAATCATATTTGACCACTAAACTATATACCTTTATCATTTTGACCCTTGAAGAATTTTTTTATCACATTACCTACTGAATTTGTATATTTTGATCATTAATACACCGTCAACTACTGTTAAAAATTATAACTCAATGAAAATAAAGTACGTGGAATTAGTTAATCCCATATATTAATTTTAGAAATTGAAAATAATTAAAAAATGGCTTTATTATTTGTTCAATTGAAAAGTAACAAAAAAATAAAAAAAAAAGATATAAAATAAGGATAAACAATCTATTTAGCCACCTAATGATTATTATATTTCTTTTTTGCCTACTATTATTTTTTTTACAAATTCATCACTAACATTAAATTTTCTTTAAATTGGTCTGACTTAGGATGATAACAATTATAGTCTTGAAACTTATACATTTTACCAATTTAGTCTCAATTTAAAATAATTTAAACTCTAATATAAATTTTATCAATTAGGTCATTATTTTAACTTAAATTTTTAAATAATTTGATAAATTTAACCGTTTGATAAATTTTTGATGCGTATTGTCATCTTTTTATTAATGTATAATGCCAAAATTAGCTCTCTAATATTTATTAAAATAGTCATTTTAATTTCTATTATTTTTTAGAGTATTTCAGCCTCAACATTTTATTTTAAGATAAAAAGATCTTCAATATTTGATCGAATAGTCATTTTGGCTCTTATTCTTTATTTGTAGAATATATTAGCCCTTAACATTTTATTTTAAGGTAAAAGGCCCTATTTTTTAGTATTAATAATTTTTTAACTAACGGTTTTAGTATATATTGGGACTTTCAAAATGAAACATTGGTGGCAAAAATCTCAAAAAAAAAAGATAAGGGACAAAATAATTATTTTGATAAACATTGGGAACTAATTTTAACATTATGCCTTTTATTAATTCCAAGTTAAGGCCCAAATCAGATATACGGGGAACGCTGATCCATATTGACGGTTGTTGTTTCTGGATTGAACAAGAGAGAGAGAGAGAGAGAGAGAGAGAGAGAGAGAGAGAGAGAGAGAGAGAGAGAGAGAGAGAGAGAGAGAGAGAGATCTGTTAAGAAAATTCAATTCAAAGCTTTTACCATCTTCAACCATTTCCTCTCTCACTATCTCGTCCCCAAAAAAAAAACCTCATTTCATCCTCCTTCACGGGCCATTTCTTTTTCGATTCCCTGCGAGACCGGTACCCGTTGGTTTTCTTCTCCTCATGGCGACGAGAAACCGGACCCTCCAATTCAAGAAAACTAGGGATGCAGTGAAGAACGTTCGAGCTCCTCTCTCTTCCTCGGCATCCAGTTCCGGCGGTCCGGTTATTGAAATGGTTAACACTTCTTTCCTTCGCAATAGTCGTTCTTCGTACGCTCCTCTCAGTACCGAAGAGGACCCTGGTCCTTCGAGGTAACTGATTTCGTCTATCCTTTTTTTTTATAGAATGATTTTAACCAGTTATCATTCTTCTGTATTTATTTATTTTTGCTGCAGTAGTGGTGCATTTACGGTAGGTTTGCCGCCATCGTGGGTTGATGATTCGGAAGAAATAGCGGCAAATATTCAACGAGCTAAGGTCAAGATGGCGGAGTTAGCCAAAGCTCATTCAAAGGCTTTAATGCCTTCATTTGGAGACGGAAATGAAGATCAACGCGCCATTGAGGTTTTAACCAGAGAAATTACAGATCTATTAAGGAAATCTGAAAAGCGATTGCAAAGGCTTTCGAGGAACGGATCTTCCGAGGATTCCAGTCTTAGAAAAAATGTCCAGGTACTTGGAAAGAATTTCGTTCTTAAACAATGTTAATTTTTTTTTCGTACTTCAATTCTAGATCAATAGAATGTGGTATAAATTAATTCCTGATTATTTATACAGTGGTTTACTTTATTGATTTGTTAAATTCATCTTTGGGAAGCGTTCACTAGCAACAGACCTTCAGACACTATCGGTGGACCTGCGACGTAAACAATCAACTTATTTGAAACGGCTACGACAGCAGAAAGAGGTTTGTTTGGATTGAGTTTTAGTTAGGTTCATATCAAATCTCTATGACGCTTCCTACTAGGGAGCATGATTGATTTATGTCCCTGGTTAACTTTGTATGTTGTTTTTTGGTGTATTGACAGGAAGATGTTGACTTGGAGATGAACTTGAATGATAACAGATATCGAGAGGATGACAATGAATTCAGTGGCATGGTAATCCATTGGTATACTTGTATTCCATATTCCTACTGTTTCAATAGGTGGATTGGTTTTAATAATTAGTATGTACTAGGTTTTAAGGCCTAAGAAATTTCAATTTCTACTACAAAGTGAGTGATACAATTATAGAAAATTGGATAACAAAGATGTCAAACTCAATTGAAGTGTTTAATTGTGGATACTTTGTTGTTGGAATTTGCTTAGAACAAAGTTCACTTGTTTTGGAAATGTTTTGGTATGTGATTGATACAAGGTCTGAATCATTTATCGTTCAATTCAACCCCCTTTATGGTCTGGTACTCTAGTGTGAATGACATGATGGGTGATTACTGCAGGGATTTAATAAGCACCAAATGAACAAGCTGAAGCAGAGTGAGTTCTCAACTGAAGAGAGGGAGAGAGAGATCACTCAGGTACCTGAATATATGTGGTTTATAATTTCAATGGTAGTTCCTCTCTAATGAATATGGTATTTTTGCAGGTTGTCCAGTCAGTAAATGAGCTTGCTCAAATCATGAAAGACCTCTCAGCCCTTGTGATAGACCAGGTATGACACATCTTTATGTTATGTTATCCATTGTGGTTGATTGATACAAACTGATTTTTGTATCTAATACCTCTAATCAGGGCACTATTGTTGACCGAATAGACTACAATATCCAAAATGTTGCTACATCAGTTGAGGAAGGCTTCAAACAACTCCAGAAGGTTGTATATATTTTTGCCCAACTCAGTCATCCATGCTTGTACATACACACATGTAAACTCATTCCCTTATTTTCCGGCGAAAATTTTGGACACCAAAGATTATCTGTCCTCATCTAGTATATGGGTACTTATGAATTCATTACATATGTTGTGTGCATAGCTGCTCTTAAGTTATGATGGTTTTGAAAAAACTTGAGACTTATATATAAGATGGTCATCTTGTGTGTACTGGAACTGCAGGCTGAGCGATCACAGAAGGGAGGGATGGTGAAGTGTGCGACAGTGCTTGTTATTTTATGCTTCATCATGATAGTCCTTTTGATCCTCAAAGAGTTATTCTTATGATCATATTAGGGTACCGCACTGATAGTGGCTTAGCATCCTAGTTTCACATGATTGATCATGTATAAATGATGGTCCTGAATAAGATCCTAATAAAAACCGCAATGTTTACATTCCCACATATGATCCTGAGGATGATCATAAACTGCGCTGTAAATAGTTTGATATTTCACTGTTTTGACATTGAAAATTTGCATTGAAATAGGTTCTAGAATTTGGATTTCTTTTGACATTTGTAATGAGGTTGAGATCGTTTTAGTTTGTAACCAATCATTCATTGTGGGAAATTCTCAAACTAATGAAAAATTGGAAGGCAATACACATGAACATGATTCTTATTCTACTGATCCTTCTGTTTATTAGTTTCAAAATTACCCTATTATTATCAATGTTGCCAATATGACTATGAGTGAGGGTTGTTTATCTGCAATGAATCCAAAATCAAGGAAAACCCTTTGTTATCTACCAACCAAGTGATAATAATGGAATCTTTAACTCGTGTCATACTAAAATGTCCCTTTAAAACGATTGAGACATGACCACAGCAAAATATAATAATACGACCATGTTATGGATATAAAATGTCAAAATCTATTTAAAGTGAGTTATTAAAGTATAAAAATTTACAATGGGTAAATTACAAATTTGGTAAATGAACTTTGCTCTCTTTCCTATTTCACTCAATGAATCTTTTCAATTTTCTCACTGAACTTAATACATTGGGGTTTTTGGTCACTCTTTCGTTAAATAATTAATGACATTAAAATGGGCAGTTGTATAGATGCAAAACGACGTCATTTTGGCATTTTTAACTTCGTTAACTATTTAACAACAGAGTGACCAAAAGATGAGAGAGTAAAGTTCAATGACCAAAAAAATCATATGTATTAAATTCAGTGAGGAAATTGAAAACTATTAAAGTTCATTGAGCAAAATAGAAGAGATAGAGTAAAATTCACTGATGAAATTTGTAATTTACCCATTATAATATGTTAAACATTAAAATAATACAAATTTGAGTATATATATATATATATATATATTTATCTAAATTAAGGAAAAACATACAATGTTTTTCAATATTATTTATTTGGGTAAAATACACAAATAGACTACTAGTAATGTAACCTCCTCAGACCGATGCGGGTAACCCGATCCGATCTGTGGTGTCACATTAGTGCCACCGGAGCGACCCACTGTAGAAATCTTGGAAAATTTAAAACTTTTATTAAAACATGTAAACTTATAAAATCTTTAAATCGGTATTCAGAAATAAAATAGATTTTCAGACTCATATTTAAAACAAAATACAATTACATGCCCCCTAATCACATGTATCATCCTCTACAAGCAACGCCGGAAGAACTCCCTTACTGAAGTTGATAACTGCACTGGTACAATTCTTTTAACCTGCAATGGTGAGTAATAGAGTGAGCTTCAGAAAGCTCAGTAATATAAAACTACCAGATGATGCTGAAGAACGTGCAGATACAAATAAACATATATTTCCTTATTGGTTCAAATATTTATAGAATTTTTTAAGTTGAGCTGAGATACCATTTATATCTCATGTAGTAACATATAATATTCAGTTCAGATGGAAATATTTCGAATGTCTACGTTCAGGAGATTAGAATAGGTTATCTAGTATATTCCCGCAAAATCAGTGAAAAGATACAAATCTTTTTAAAACATATATATATTTTTTAAATCCTAATAATCCCTCCAACCGCTACACATCATAATGTGTAGGTTCTCCAGAACCATACTCAACCGCACAGCCAGTAAGGCCCTGAGCACAAAGCTGAGGAACTTGCAGATATACTTCCTCCAACAATAACCCCCCAAATAAAACATTTTTCCGTCAGTAAATGGAGATATCAGAAATCAAAATAGAATTCATATAAGATATCATAACAAAATCTAGGTCAGAAATTAGAACAGAATTCAGATAAAGTATCAGAACATAATTCAAATCGAAAATCAGATAAAATATTCATGTGATTAGGGAACACACTAGAGTTTCCAGATGTTATTCAGAGATACTGAATAATCTTATTGGAAAAGAAACACGGATCTTTAGTTTACCGATAGAATGTCGGAAGTTAGAATCACTATTGGAAGAGTTTATTAACTGACAGAATCATCAGTTATTCAAAATATGATTTATCAGGATCATATCTTATTAGGACATTTTTCGGAAGCTCAACGTAATCATACGGGTATTCAGAATCCTTTACTTATGAGTTACTTGTGTTTTCAGATATGCCCAGAGTGGTTTGAGCTGATAAGGGAGAACGAAGATTCAGAACCTTTATAATCTATGTCGATTGATTTGGATTATTAGAATAACTCCCAGAACTAATGCTTGTCGACTGGTCAATTCATTGTCCCTCCAGGGTATTTACTTTTTTTAATACTAAAAATTATTATCCATAGATCATTTTCGGAATCATCGCTGAATAGATCTTAAGGAAACTAACAAATATTCCAATGCTCTTTATTTCATTTCCATGCTTTCGCGATATCATGAAACGCTGACGTGCTTGATTTGTAGTTCATGACCCATAAGAACATTGCATCATGTATGTTCATTAACGTTTCTAGACTCTTACAAATCACTTATTTAATCCTCAACCATTCAGGTCACTTATTTCATTTAACAGTCAAGTCTATTCCGATTACTTCAGAATTTTCCAGAGTAATTCGGACGTTTTCTAAATTTTGGATACATATTGTACTTTTGTTCAGCTCAATTTGGTCTTCGTGGTTGATTTGTCCAACAAATGTCCAATTCTTAATACTGAATACGATATAGAGTTAAGTTAAGCTGAATACTTCCAAAATTATCATCGAGCCACACTTGAGAAGACGGACAAGCATTCAAGTAACATCTATGTCTTTCAGGTACTGACATATCATTAAGATTATTCAACTCACTTAAGCTGTGTTCTATAACTTTTAAAGGTAGTCCAACACCTATGCTTATTTGGATTCCTTAATTAATCCAAGATATTTACTTAGTATAGGCCATAAGTGTATTTTGGTCATTTTGGTGTTCAACTTTATTCCATTCATTACAGAGCTCGAGGATATCCAATCATTCCCGAGCTTGGTGATATTCTTGGGTAATTTCTATTATAGGGGTATTTTGGTCATTTTACATATTTGATGTGTTTTAATCTGTTCCTTCCATATGATCTTATTATTTAAATCAAATGTATCATCTTTTCCAGACCTTTCGAACAATTCTGACAAAAGAGCACCCTCGATAATTTATTCTTAACTCGGAGATTTTCAGGTCAATTGTCTTCTCAGAAGTTACCAACAGGTTATCAAGAATTTTTTGTACAAAGACAGAATCTTAAAATTTAAATCCATAATTTATCGAGTTAAATACGAATCCTCAAAGTATTTTCTCATTCAAGGTCAACTTGGACTATTTTTACCTTTCAAGGGCATTTTTCTAATTTCTGAACCAAATAGTTTTAGTATTAACTCTTAACGAAAATAACTTTAATTTAGAGATCCTATGGCTAATTTCCTTTCAGAACATTCTCTAATCTTGAAATGATTCCTTAACAGACTTCTAGTATCGTGCATAAACCCTCTTGGGTTAAAAACCGGTTATCCAAATTTTCTAAGCAAACTAGCATTTCTTATACACATATGTAGTTTTATCAGATCAATATATCCTTTCAGAGTTATTAATCAACTTCCAGGGACAATTCTTGACATTTTACAACATAAGGGTATTTTTATAATTTTACCAAACCAGAGTATTCTCATTTTCTCATCCAAATACCCTTAACGTTTAACCTTTGATAATATAAATATAAGCTACATCCAGGGCTGATTCCTTATCACTAATCACAAAACTTTAATTTAATTCTAATAATCCTTCAATTTCTTATATAAGTCATCTGAACCATATTTAGTTACCGAATTTTTACCTTATTCGGATCGAGTGTAGAAATTAATTAACTACACAAACGATACCAAACATTAACTTATTCATGCATTTACCAATATCAATATGTTCCATAAAGCATAAAGAGGTAGAAAAGTATTACCACGATTTTCATGCCATACTGATCGACCATAAAAATTCCATTTGAACGCCCTCGATCTTGAAATCAACTTCCAATAATTCCTCATATATATATCAACAGAAATTACATCAGAAACGGAGCTTAATTTCCAAAAAAAATGGATCAAATCAGTGATAAATAAGTGAAAACCAACTTATCGGGTTCAAATTTGGTGAAACAGACCCCAAAAACAGATTCAAAACGTCGAAAAACATCAGAATAGGTATACCCGAAAAAACTCAACGGTCGTTTAATGGCCGATCAACATCGATCAAAGTTATTGTCAACGTTGGTCAACGACGGTCAACGGTTTAATACAAATATCACCCTAATAGAAATTAATTACATATTAGACACATTTTAAAAAATATTTACAAAACGAGTACTCAAGTTTTTTTTTCTGTTTATCTGCAGCCAGGACTTCCCTACGCGCAGGGGACAGTGCGTGGGGCACGTGCGGCATCGTGGGGTGTCCAAAAGTTCCCGGAAAAATATCTAAAAGTTATTTTAAGGCATTTTGAGACACTTACCAAGCTCGGTTCACAATTTTGAACGACAGAGAGCTCGATTCCGAAACATCGAAAACTTTGACTTTCTCACCCCTCCACGCACCGACAACGACGGAGACACGGAGTTCACCAGTGGACTCGGAACGATGCAAGGAACACGATGGTGTGGGGGGTGTCGAAAACGGATGGCCGGATCGACGTGAATCGATGGATAACCAACGAAAATTGAGTTAAAACCGTCGATACTTCCGACTGAAATTAACGACGAACGATGACGATTCACGATAAAAGGTTTGAGGGTTTTGTTTATCGGTCGACAACGAATATGATGGTGGTTTCGATTCGTCGAACGGAGGTCGAACGGTGAGTAGATCGAAGTTTAAAAGAGCGTTGAGGGAAAGGGAAATGGAAAAATGAAATCTGCAAAAACTGATGCACGGGGGAGAGATTATAATTCTCTCCAAAAGAAAAATGGTCAAATCATGAGTTTAGTCATTGAATTTCCTGCACTTTATAAAACAGTCTGCCAACTTTGAAATTTTTCAATTTAATCCTCAATTTTCTTCCCAAAATACCAATTAAATCCACCACTTTATAATTCTAAAATTTAGCCCCTAAATTGGGGTGTTACAAGTAACATCAAAAAATAAAAGGGAAATATGGCGGCACATGATTGTGGGTTTCTCT